TTCTTAATTGTCAACTGCAAAAATGCGTCGCCAATTGAATTATAGCCACAAAGTTCCTTATATCAGCAAAGAGGAGATATCATTAGGGATGTTCATATCGCCCTTTATTATGAAGTTGCCGACAGTAGAAACTCATTTCTAGCCTTTTGAAGCTGAGGTGGCTTTGATGGTCAAGTAGGCACAGTGTCACACCTAGGCAAACGTAGGCAAACGCAAAAGCACATGTTGAGCCCCTCGGTGCCCAGAATTTTTCTCAAGCGATTTTTCTGTTCGTCTGAATCAATTCTTCCGCCTTAGTTGATCATGAATACTAGCTAACAATCAAAAGGAGGCGTCATTTTGTCAGGCGTTTTTCGCATCTTTGCGATTCTAGCTTTAGCAGAATACCAATCCCAGAAAATCAAAGCTCACATTGATGACAAAAATGGAAACTGCGTTGAATTCCGCCTTTATATCAATTTCCTCCCGCTATTCGCCATTAACGGCCGATGTTCACCACCACTAACTCCCAGTCTATGGCATTTCCTACCGTCCCATGATTGTTTCTCTATTCTGTAATTCTGAGACCAGTTGACACCCAAAGTTCATTTTTTCTTCAGATTTGCTCATTTCTGACTCCATGGCGAGGGTTGGTATAGCTAACAAAACCACTCAAATCGTTTGATTTAGCCTGTTTAAAGCATCTTCCATGAGTGAGGTTTTTTTTTGAAATTTCCAGAAAAAAATCGCCGAAAACATCTCTCCCTCCCATATCACGACCTCTTCATCTTCCACAATTACAACCCTTCCCACTTTTCGAAGAGATCGCTGACCTTGGTTGCCCCCCCCCCTCCTCGTTGGATCGTCCGACGGTTGATCATGTCCGGAAAGATGTGATCATTTCTGTTCTATGATGGATATGGATGCGCCAATGCAGTGCCTGGTAAGTTCCAAAACAGGGAGTTACATGTAGTTAGGTTCTAGGAGCCCACAGATTGCACGCTTTTTGGACACTACATACCGTATACTACATATGTACTGTTTATTTGTGAACATGA